ATCTGTAGGATTCACAGGGTGTCATCGTGTTTTAGTCATTTCGTTGGTTAAAAATGTTACAAATATCAATACAACACCAACTAAAGCAGTCTGCATTATTACCTGATCCTGTGTCAAGTCTAGTTATAAGATCTTATTTTTGGTTTATATTGGGGTTGTGTGGTCCATAAAGTTTAATCACATACACAACAAATCAAAATACAGACAGAAAACTTGGTACAGGGAGATTTAGTTCATTTTAATGCTTAAAGAGGTACTCCACCCTAAACATGTTTGTGCTGTAAACTGAAGAATAGGACTTTCAACACATCAACGCTGGTGTTAAAGTTGACATAATAGAAAGAATACATTTCACTGTTAAAAACAGCTTAACACGCTATCCACTGTTTTAAATAACCCTTTACGTTTTAAGATAAATGTAAGTTACACTTGCAATGCAACATGACACTGCCCTCTGCTGGTCACAGTGAGGCACTACAACAAGAGTGTCAAACATGCTGTTTGGTGGTCTAACCCTCAACACTCTTAAGCTGCAAATCAAAGTCAATGATGTCTACGTGGGCTGGACAACAACATCTGGGCATAGCAGGCCTCCTCTTCCCATAGAAGGACTGAGCAGACAGCTACTGGAAAAAATATGCCACATCAATATACTATGAAAATATGTAATAAATATGTTTTATTTATTAAATAATATTTCATATTATTTTTGGTTTCGGGGTGCTTTTGCATTGAAATGCAATGCGGACAGAGAAAGCCTGAAATGAGAAGGATTTGTACGGGATTATTCCAAAATAGTTTGTAAAGGGCTAAAGTTTAACATTAGTGGCACCAGTGCCTGGAAGTTTTAGAAACTGGCTCCAGAAAATAAAAATGCAGCAGATACATAAGTCACATGTAAAACAGGAATATTCCCAAATAAAGTGTCACTGGCCAGGTTCACTTGCATAAGAAGCAAGGCAAAGGGTAGCACTCTGGAGCTCTGCTACTACACTATCGACAGCACGATCACTATACAATTTACCTGCCGAGTATCCTTAAGTATGACGAGGCCACGTTTTTTGGTGTGAACCCCTCCATGCCAGACGTTTGGTAGAGAGGGCTCAGCAGTTTCGCATCACAGAGAACATTCTTGCTCATTAGCACCTTCTCAGTAACAACTGCACAAAAGATGATGAATGCATATAGCTGAGAGTATATTAAAGGATCCTAATTAAATTACATACTTGCTATTGAATAGTGCCGTACCCGGCTTCAGCCACTTGCTTTTGTCAGTAGAAGTGGGGTGGAGGCACTTAAGTGGATTTTCATGGACATGTCTTCGTCCTCTTCTTCAACATCTCCAATGGTTACAGGGCTGTTATAGGCTTGCTGGTGGGAAGTACATTAAGACTGCTGAGTGGAGAGCCATCACTAGCACCAGTCATACACTTCCCAGGATGCACTCTTGAGGGCGGTGTTTATGTCCATTACTCTCCGATTAAGACTATCTCAATGCTGTCTGCCTACGCTGCCATCTTGTTGTTCTCCTACCAGGCTTCTGTGCTCTTCAACAAAGGCATGCTTCCTGAGAAGTGTGTTAAAAGTGAAAGCAACAAATACAACAATTTGCTACTGTTTACAAGACACAAATAAGTTACATATGGCTCACTTAAAATGCAGAGTAGACTGTTGAAGGTTAAAATCTGAGAACAGTTTTTTTAGTATAGCGGCCATACTGACCAGCAGGTAGAAAAGGACCATCGCTATCAATCCTGATGTTGACAGCCATGATGAACTCGACTGCCCTGCACACTAGACTTGATGTCTGACTGAGTGAGTGACAGAGTGGCAATTATGCAGAAGAGGTATGACATTCCAGGACAGGAGAAACAAGAAAAACATAAACCTCCACCTTGAAAACACACTAACGCCCTCTGCTGAAAATAACTGGTCTCAGGTTTAGTTATTTGGCAAGCATACAGAAACCATCATGCATCTTGACAGCATATTTTAATTTGAACAAAAAATAAACCCAAATCCCTGCACCTGGTTGTGACTCATCCTTTGGAGTTCTAATACTGATGCATCAGTTTGTCTTCATTTCTTAACCACTGAACACCTCCATTACTGCTGACATTTCCTGTTATAGTTCTGTCGGAGATATGTGCCAGTCACTGCCAGCACAAAGTCATAACAGAAACAACACTTAATTTGATATGGCATAGAAAATAAGCACAAGCACACAAATAAGGAAACAAAGTACGTGTTAAATATAATACAACACACATCTTTATCCATCTATTTTCTGTGGCTTAGTTGGAGCTGGGTCGCAGAGGCAGCAGGCTAGGCAAGTTAGTCCAGAGGCCCCTCTCCCCGCCAAGTTGTTCCAGCTCTTCCTGGAAGATCACTCTTAGGGAGTAGAGCCGCTGCTGCTTGACTACGAAAGGAGCCAGTTAGGAATCTGATCAGGTTGCCTCTTGGGTGCCTTTCTCTGGAGGTTTGTTGGTACAGCTGGTATGGAGACCCCGGGGTAGAACCACAATTTGTGGAGACACCTCATCTGGGTTGGGAAGGCCTCTGGGTACCCTAGGATCAGTAAAGATGCATTCTCTTGCTAAACAGAGCCTTTTAAGATGATTTTACTGACTCTTTGGATGTAAAGCCAAACTGGTTTACAATATGTGTACTTCCAAATAGATTTGTATGTGGGAAAATCATTTCAGTTTTTTCAATTAAAATAATTATATTTTAGGCTATGAGTCTGTTTTCATTTATAAATTGGGCTAAGTCATGTAACAAGACTTACATCTTTTTTTACAGTTAGACCTTAAACAAGCTAGTCTATGCCACTGCCTCTAGTGGTATGCAGAGGATACCTCTTTTTTTAAATTAAATGAATTAACCCTTCGATCCTGCTTGTTCCCTCTTCTGATTAGAGGGTGTTAGAAACTCCTTTTTTTATATAGTGTAACATTATATAAGATAGTAAACGACGTAAAATGAATGGTTCACTGGGCACAGCTTTTCACGTCAAACCAGTCTCCCAGAAAATGCTGCAGGTGATGCGGTAAACTCTGGTCTAATGATTATTGTTTAATCTCGTCATATTTATTATTGCCATTAGACTTTTGTATGAGGTGTTCTAATTTCCAACTACTAGAGCAGTGGTTCTCAATTACTTTCTATCATGTCCCCCGCTAGGGGACAGACATTTTTTCACGCCCCCCCGCCCCAAAATGTTGAATATACTATTTGAAAGAACCTGATCATATTTATTTATTTTATCTGCACAAAACCACTGTATGAGTTGCTGTCCACCCAGCATTCTGCATACAATCACGCTGATTTCAAATAGATGGAAATAAAATGACGTGAGATAACATCTGCACAAACTTAAAACATCCAAGTTCAGTTTTAATAACTCCCAATTTGTAACATTAAAACAAGACTGCTCAGTCATGTGTGATTCTCAAAACCAGAGAAAAAAGTGCAAAATGATTCACTGTGAGTGCATTTTTATAGACTTAACACAGTAACATATCAAAAACTTTTTTAAACTGTAGAACTGTAAACAATTGTCAATTTGTCAGCTTTCATCCAGCTTATTCGCTTTTTTCAAAAGGTAATTAGTTACTTTTTTATAATGTTTATTATTATGTCCAAAATTTGCAAACAATATTGTTACTATTTAGACTTAGTCAGAAGGGATGAAAAGTGCATAAACAATTTTATGCATTTACTTTCCACTGAAAACATATTGTCTATCCAGAAGACAATAAAAAAAAATTGAACTCTCTGAAACAATTTAGGAAACTGTCAGCTTACAATATCAAGTTTTGAGCCATTTTGTTAGATAAAACAACAATTAACCTTCACAATTCTTATCAAACTTCTTTCACTGCATTTCGTCTGTTTTATATGAACCACCATTTCAGCCTTCAATCAATTTGCCATCAGTCATCTGCCAGATGCACAGTACATCTCCCCTAAGAACCAACTAATAAAAAAAGACATTGTGCACTATTTGGCAGGAGTTATCAGTTTGCTCGTTGTATTTAGTTGGCTGCTGTGAGCCCTTGTTTGCACTTGCACATTCTTTTTAAAATCTGGGGTCTTAAATTTTATATGCTACTCTCCACACTCTTGCTCAATGTAAAACCTGAGATCCTGTACCTTTGTTTTTAGTGCAGCAACAGTAGAAAAGCCGATTCACAGAGAATAGTGTGTTGCAATGGGCAGTAGAATGTTCAAAGCTTTCTGTCCAATGTGTGGTAGTATCTCTCCCTTTTCCACACTAACTCAGTGTCTGGCGATGTAACTCAGCCTCAGGGTGAAGTCAGGGTATCAATCAGCTGGTCCTCTTCATGCAGAGCGAATTCCAGCAGGAGCTCTTTGCACTGAATGGAAATCCGACCTAAAGTCTTTTTTGTTTTTTTTACAACCAAAATAATTTAAATGTACAAAGCTACAAGGTATACAATAACAATTCAGCACATTGGCTGAACACAATAACTAAATAAATCAAAGGATAGAGTACAAACAATAAAATAAAATAATAACTAATAATACCTACTACTATTATACAACAACAGTATAAAATAATAAATAAAAATAGATAGTTCAAACCAGGGGGCTTCAAGGGAGAATTTTCATAAATGACTCAGTAAGGTATTACTTTTTTTGTTATTTAATCAAAATCAGAGATTTTAAAGCAAAAGAGCTCAGTTCCAGGAGAAAATGAAGCAAATGTAGGTATGATTTTGCGAATATTTGTTTTGTGAATAAAGAAATTTTGCATATAGGAATAACAAAGTTTCCATCCAGGTTCAAAGAGCATTATCTTCTGGGTTAAACATAGTAAGCAAATAACAGTCTTTAAGGGTAAGAGAGTAGACAGAGACTAAAAGTCTAGTAACCAGAGGGACTCGTGGACGCGTCACACAAAGGACGCATGCGCAGTTTCTGCTTGCATCCGATTGGTCCGTTTCAAACTCGCCGCGGCTGTGTTGTTGTGTTTAGTTAGCACAACGTTAGTCAGCGTTAGCACACCACAGATTCTTCTCTCGCAGCATCTCAATGTGCCAAATATGACTGCCAGGTGAGTGCTTTTCTTGAGTAATACTCCAGTTGGGTTCTGTTCATAAAAGTTAACGGAAATTTGTTACTGTGATAACTGTGTTAACGTTAAACTTCAGCTGACAGGTAACCTAACGTTACGTCTGCTAACCAGCTAAGTTAGCGTATTAGCTGGGTTGAACCATTGACAGTACACGTTTAGTTGGCGTTAGTGGACAGAAGTATGAAGATTAAAACAGAAGGTCAACAAAAGAAACATTTGGCCTGTGCTCAAACACACACACACACACACCACATTGCAACATTTTATTCTGAAGCGTTACATTAGACGATGTTCAGTTACAAACTGTTAATAACAAAGCTGCTGTAACGTTACCTGTACGTCAAAAACACGAGGATTGGTGAATGTGTCCATATCCAATGCAATACAGTGTGTCAGCTTTTTGAAGGGAAGTGACATAAATGAGTGTGGGTGAACGTGTGTCCCATTGGCAGTGTGTAAAGGTTTGTCCTGGTGGTTGCAGGATGATGGAGTCATGTCTGGGCAACAAGGCTGAGAAACAGGAGCACATAGAGGTTGACAATTTGAAGAGAGATCTCTCATCAGAAAGCAGCACCGTGCCAGACTCTCAGGTAAATAATTCACGATCAATTCTCTTGTCCACAATAATGATGAAGGCATCACCATACAGATGGCTGTAGCCAGAGCATACCTCTACTATGCTGAAGTGTTTTGAAGCATAAATGCAAGTCAAGTTTTACACAGAACAGTGTCGCACAATGTGATCAAGTTTAACGTAAAGTCCTGGTATTTTTAGTTCTCTGTGAGTCCTCTCAGGCAGTCATGACGGTGATCTTGAAGGCTGAAAGCAGGTGTGATCAGATGAACCAGACTTATTTCAGGGTTCTCTGTGATTGCCCCGTGTTTTCTTGTGAGAAATGATCTTGAGAAATCAGCCGTTTTAATTGGGAGCACAGCTGTTCTCGGCTTCTGTAACTAACTGCTGGAGCAGATTTATCAGGACGAGAGCAGATTTAGAGGAGGACAATTCACACACTGCTGATATGGTCAAATGACACACCATACTGGCTACACAGAAGGACACTTTCTTAAACAAATAACTTTATTAAAGACTACTTGCTGTTTTTAAATCAACTCTGACGTGTTGTGCAGAATTCCAGTATCGAGGAGAGAGAACACCTTCAGGTGTACCTCCGAATCCGACCCTTCACCTCAGCAGAGAGCCATCATGGAGAGTCGCAGGTAAAAAATGAAGACAAATAAAATACTCCCTGTAGGACTTTATCTTGAATGAATACCGAGTGCTTGATAGCTGCTCTTAAAGCAGGCTTTGCTTTACAGCATACATTTTTGCTGATTCTGCTGCAGATAATTACAATAGATGTAAACAAAAACAGAATAATTGTGAAGGACAGATAAATATTTTTTTATTTTAAACAGGACTGTGTTGCCTTGGAGCCCCCTGACACGGTGCTGCTGAAGCCTCCCAGTTTGTCCCTCTCAGCGAGGCTTAGCACTGACAAATCCCTTCCTCAAACTGGACAGCGCTTCCAGTTCTCTCAGGTTTGTGTTTCCTGGCAGATAGGAAGCCAAAAGCGTTAGTTATTCTGCTCAGAAAGCTTTCTTATCGTCTTTTCTAGGACTTCTGTTTTGATATTTGATGAGCCTTTTGCCTCCCTTCAATAGGTGTATGGTCCCGAGACAACACAGAGAGAGCTCTTCCAAGGCACAGTAAAGGATCTGGTGAAAGACGTGCTCGAAGGCGGGAACTCTCTGGTTTTCACTTATGGAGTCACCAACGCTGGGAAGACCTTCACATTTTTAGGTCTGTGTCACTTGCATACGTTTAAATAGTGCTGTGATTTTAACTAAATAGGAAATATTTTTTAGCGGCAGGAAGACTTTCAGCAGCTCTCTGGAGCTATTTACCACTCAGTTTATGTCTAATAAGTGTAATAGACACATTAAGCTACTTGATTAGGTTCAACTCAAGTTTTGCACCCTTTGTTTCACTCAGATCTGAAATTCTTGGTAATTAAGGATTTAAGTAAAAAATGCATAATTCACCCTAGATAGTTGTCATAACTTTGTTTATTGTAGGTTATACTTTGTTTTATCTGTTCGTAGCTCGGCTAGTTATCGCGCTAGCTGTCTAGAGATCTCTGTCTGATATTTAACAATGAGTAGGAGGAAGTAGGATGTAGGAGTGGATGAAATAGTGAACAGACTTTACATTTCTGCCATGTTTCAATAAGTCGTGCTCTAGTTGAAGCATATAGTAGGGGCAGTCCACAGCTTTTCTAAAAAATGTCATAATGATGACGGACTTGCAAGTGGCGATGTTCTTTTTTCTTTTTTTGCATGGTTGTTACATAATCCATTTTACAAAGTAAATAAAAATAAAAAGCTAAATTTGAATTAAACACAATTAATACATTTATTAAGACAAAAGTCACGTAACAAGAGAAACTCAGAAGGAAAAAAATCAGAAAAACAAAAATCTGAAAAAGGAAAGCAGTACTTAAGTCTTGCCAGTGTTGCTTTTTTTGTGTTCTCTAACTGTAGGCCCATTTTAAAAACAAGTGTCTTACAGTGAGCCCCTACTAGCTGCTGTCTACCGCTGCATTATCATTGCTCTGATGAGAAATTACCTTTTTGTGTTTCTGTCTTGAGATTTGAATGATAATAGAAGCACTCTTAATAATCCAGCAGTGTGCTCTCACTTCAGGTCCAGATGCTGATGCTGGTATCCTGCCCAGGTCTCTTGATGTAATTTTCAGCAGTATCGATGAACAGGTTTTCACTGGAATCAGCATCAAACCTCACCGCTGCCAAGAGTTCACAAGGCTCAGCAGGGAGCAGCAGGCGGAGGAGGCGGCGTTCAAGAGAAACCTCTTCAGACAACTTAAAGAGGTAACCTGTCTGCCTCAGAGGTTCAGACAAGCAAGGCTGCAAAATAACAGAAGAAAAAGCTGAATGCTGAATAGATGGTGAAGTGACATTTAGAGATTACTGTGTATTTGAAGCACTTTGTGACTTTGCTCTTAAAAAATTAACTTGTATATAATTATCCCACTGAAGAATGGCATTTTTAACATTTTCGTCTTTGCTCTTTGTCTTATAGAGTGAGAAGAGCAATGCCAGCCTGTTGAACTCGACCAATAAGACTCTGCTCGAAGGCAAGCTTTTCTTTTAATCCAGCATCTCGTAATTAGTTCTCGGTTGTTTTTCTGCTATTTTTTGCTCTGCAGCTGCAAATCTGACAGTGAAACCACCTGGGATACTGTTAGACTAATTCTGATTGACAGCACTGTTGGCACCTGTTCATATTTCTAAAATGTACTGTGCAACCTTAGGGCAGGAATGCATTTTTAAAATTCTCATCTTGTGTTTAAGTACAAAGTTACTACTGTATTTATAGTGTGTGTGTCTGGTGTGTGTGTGTGGGTCTGCTGTGTGTGTGTCTGTTTCTGTGTGTGTGTGTTGTGTGTGTGTGTCTGTGTCTGTGTCTCTCTGCAGGCTCCTCCGTGCTGGGGACAACTGTTGCAGTAGAGGACAAAATCAGCCTGGAGGTGGAAACACATACTAAGTTCTCTGTTTGGGTTTCTTTCTGTGAAATCTACAATGAGAACATTCACGACCTCCTGGAGGTGGTACCCAGCGGGCCTTTGAGGAGGACTGCGCTGCGCCTGTCACAGGACGTCAAGGGCAACGCCTTTGTTAAAGGTTTGATGGAATACTGAAGTTGTTATATTAAAGGGATGCAAATGTTTGAGCTGTGGCAATATAAAATGCCTGCAGACGTAGTTAAAATGGGTACTGCTATGTCTGCAGCATGTAAACGTTGTCACATGAATTCTCTCTTCCTTTTCCAGTCACTTTATATCAATATCCTGTTTTTGTGCATTCGTATTTAGATCTGCGTTGGGTTCAGGTAAATAGTGCAGAAGAGGCTTACAAGGTGATGAAGCTGGGCAAGAAGAACCAGAGCTTCTCCTCCACCCGGCTCAACCAGCTCTCCAGCAGGAGGTGAGGGTGATGAGCAAGCAGCTTTTACAGATATTCAGCTAAAGGTTGTCTTTTTCTTTCCAACAGTTATTGAAAGGACCAGTGTGTACATTTAGTGGTATCTAGCAGTGAAGTTGCAGATTGCAACCAACTTCATACTGCTCACCTTCTAAGTGTGTAGGAGAAAATACGGTGGCTGCTAAACTTGTGAAAAAACACCCAAAAGGCCCTTTATCTAGAGCCAGTGTTTGGTTTGTCCATTCTGGGCTACTGTACTAACATGGTGGTTCAACATAGCAGCCTCCATGGAGAGGAGCCGTCCCCCTGTTAGATAAACGCTCATTCTAAGGTAAAAACACATGATTCTTATTTTCAGGTGATCATACACTAATGAAAACATACTTTTATTATATTCCATTTCTGTCAATAGATCCTCCTAAATGTTACACACTGGACCTTTAAATTCTGACTGCAAAAGTAAAATAATATTTAACTCCTTGACCACCAACTTTACCTGCAACAACTGGTATGTGATGTGGTGTAAAATTATAAAAGCTATTGTAACCGTGACAGTATTCTTTTCTAACTCAAACTCTTTACCCGACAAATTTAATTTGCCTGTTGTAACCTAAAGAATCTTAAACATGATTATTAGCTTATTCAATACCCCAAATTTCCACATTAGGTTATTCTTTTTGCTCTATTTGTGGGCAAGTTTCATTTATAGGGGATTAGAGCTGCAACAATTAATAGATTAGTTGTCAACTTTTGCTAATCAATTAATCATTTGATTCATCATCTTTCAGATGTGATTATTTTCTGTTTTTTTTTTTAGCGTTCTATGAAAGTTAACTGAATATGTTTGGATTGTGGACAACACAAGACATTTGAAGATGTTGCTTTGGGCTTTGGGAAACCGTGATCACCATTTTTCTCCTTATTCTTACATTTTATGGACCAAACAACGAATCAATTATTCAAAAAAATGATCATCAGATTTATCAATAATGAAAATAATCGTGGCAGTCATGGAGATAAATAAGAGTATGTATGCTACATGTCAGCTGTACATGAGACTGATTTGGAAAACAGAATATTAATTTCATTTTTTTTTTTCGGTATGGATGTCAAAAACATTTACTACAAATTCAAAAAGCATTATAATCCTTACACGTATTCTTTCTGTTCATGACTCATGCAGTCGTGTCATTTAAGAATGATTGTACGAGTGGTTCTTGCAGAAGGCCAAATGGACCCACTCAGTCATCTTTCTTTTAAACCCCTTCTATCTTTTCATTACACATGACATTGTGTCATTACACAATTTTCACTCTCACGTATTATCCTTTTCTCTGTACTTGTGGTTGTAGTCATACTAAAATAAACAAATTTCACAAAAAAGTTGAGCTGAATAAGTCTGATAAATCTTTCCTCAGGTCATTTCACTCTTATGAGTCTGTTTATTCCATGTTAATACAAAGTTGCTATGTTTGATTTTCTTTCTCTTTCTGCAGTCACAGTATTTTTTCCATTCGCATATTGAGGATTGAGGATATTGGCATCCCGAGGGTCCACACAGTCAGCGAGTGAGTGAAACTTGACATTTTACTAGGACTGCAAACTTTCTCAACGGTGCCTCATTTTACAACCCTACAGTTACATTCTGAAAGTGTAGTAAAGTGTGAAGTGTTAAACATTAATGTACAGCATCAGCTTCGTGCTAGAGTTATCTTGTAATTTGATGTGGATAAATGTGTTTTTCATCAGGTTGAGTCTGTGTGACCTGGCTGGCTCAGAGCGATGCGCCAAAACCCAGAATAAAGGAGAACGTCTGAAAGAAGCCGGAAACATAAACACCTCACTGCTCATCTTGGGAAAATGCATCAGCGCACTCAGATACAATCAGCAGGCCAAGTGAGATCATTACCTGTCCGTCATTCTCTCTGTCTTCAATTTCAGAAGATTCAAACTTAAAATCTAGCAGCTAAAGAAACATATTTTTCTAAAGAGTTGGTCGAGTCCAAAACAGAACTAAAATTAAGTTAATACTGGACTTGCATTCATCAGGCAGACACAAAACACCAAATGCCAAAATTCAATAAGATCATAAAGTTGCAAATGTCTGCTGAGTGTATAAAAGGGGAAACTGCATGCAGTAACTTAATAAACTGGTGCTATGTGGTGGCTATTTGTCTGTCAGCTTATTTTGTTGTTCTTCTTCCCAAAAAATGGAAAAAGTTCTACACAGGTTTTGTGTCAATTCAGCTTTGAGGGTTGTGCGCTACCAAACAGAATGTCCATATATCAATGCCAACTAAGTTTGTTTGTTTGTTTGTTCCCTCAGGCTGCTTCAGCATGTTCCCTTCAGGGAAAGCAAGCTGACCCACTACCTGCAGGGCTTTTTCTGTGGTCGAGGTAAAGCCTGTATGATCGTCAACATCAACCAGTGTGCCTCCATGTACGACGAGACTCTTAACGTCCTCAAGTTCTCTGCTGTGGCACAGAAGGTGCATCCTTTTATTCATGCATTCTTCTTTCTTAGTGTTTTTATTTTTATTTTTTCAGCTGTAGCCACACAGCCACACACACACACACACAGATGGCTGGGAATCTTCTTTGTTTTTTGTTCTTCGTTAATTTGCCTCTTTTCTGCACTTTCTGTGTATTTCTAGGTTGTGGTTCTGTCAACCAAGCCCCTTCCCATCATAGCCCAGAGGTCTGCCAGTGAGGTATCGTTCATCATCAACAATGAGAGGAAGGCTCTTCGGGGCAGCAGGAGGAGCTCCCTGATTGGCTGGGATAGTAGCCTGGAGGATGTACAGGTGGGGTTGGGTTGGTGTGCTTATGCTTTTCTTATTACAATTAATACAGTATTTTATATTTTATCACTAGATAAATCTTTATTGTACTGTCATTAAAATCTTTTGTCCAGGAGGATGAGGATGATGAGTATGATGAAGAAAAGAGCCTGATGGAGATCACAATGGATCCCTCTGGCAATGAAGAAGATGGCGATGAAAATGATAAAATTCTCATCGGTAAAAGGATGCACCAGGTCAGTCCCTAACATTTTAATTTCATGAAGTGCTTTTAAAAAAGAAGCTGCAACTAGTTGCTTAAAAGGTCCAGTGTAGGAGGATCTATTGGCTGAAATGGAATATAATATTTATAGATATGTTTTCATTAGTGTATAATCACCTGAAAATAAGATAAGCTTGGGAGGGGAGGGGGAGGCGAGGGAGCTGCAATCTGCAGCTACACTGTTAAACTACACACTGGACTTGTTTAATGAACAGTACATGTACTGAGAATACTCAGTAGTATTACCAAAAAAGCATAGCTTTTGCAGTTGAAAACTCTTTATTGTTGTGTGTTCTTCCTCAGAGGCAGGTGGCACTGCTGAAACAGCTGCAGGTACAGCTGAAGAAGGAGCGAGCGGAGAGCCTGCTCATGGAGGCGCGGGTTAGAGATGAAATCAGCAGAGAGTTCTCGGAGCTCTTCTCTGAGATGCAAACTGACTATAAGTGAGACATTTCTGTTTATTTATATATATATATATATATTACATATATATTACACATACATACACATACATACAAATAGCCACCACATAGCACCAGTTTATTATATATATGAGTGTGTACGTGTGTATATGTATATGTGTATATGTATGGCCGGGATATTTAAGTCAAACAAGTGTGTGTCTGTGTGTGTTTGGTTCAGTGAACGCCTGGCGAGGGAGAGAGAGATCTTGGAGGAGCGAGCAGAAAGGAGGCTGGAGATCTTCAAGAACCTCATTGACAAAATGGCCACCACTGGACCCAGTCCAGATGCACAGGCCATGGTAATACAATCTCTGTTTCGTTCACCTGTTGGCTGGTTAAATGTTATTATTGCTAGAACAGATTTTTTTGATAACAAAGATTTAATGATTAAAACATAAATGAAAGTGTGAATATGTGGAGGCTGTACTTGTATTGCATCTTAGTGACAAGATTTGTGTGCAACACTCACACTTCACACACCAAGTTCTCAGGAACAGAGTGGCCTTAATTATTGAGTCTTTCCTGTCTTTGACCTGCTTCCACCTACAGCTTGCTTTTGAAATAATAATGATTCTTGCTGGAAGTACTTAATTTGCTGTGAAAGCAAAGGGAATTGCAAAGTTTGTAACATTTCATAAAAGGACAGACAAGTTATTTGATCTCTTTTTGACATCCTATATTAATTACCCTTGGGAATTTGTATGTAGCCACTCAAGCAGTCAGGGTTAAGTACCTTGTTCCAGGATACTCTGACAGATGTGGCCGAACTCCCTCAGGACACCAAACCTGGATGTTGTGATTGTGGCAATGTACTCATTAATCTCTAAACTAATTTTCTGATGTTTTCCTTCTCCTGCAGGACAAATCTCTGGACTCCTACTCCTCTGAATGGGCAGGCATAAAGAAGGCCGCCGAGGCTGCTCATAAATGTCTGGGTTCAGGCCGGGCAGGCGCTCAGGGAAGAGACGCTGTAGAGGAGCTGGAGAGGAAGGTGTTCAAACTGAATGAGCACCAGCGGAAAGTCCAAGAGCACCATGGTAAAAACACATATTAATCCATCAGTGTCTTAACCTGCCAGAGAGGCAGATGTTGGATGCAGATGGAAGAGGAAACCACAAACTCTTAGACTTTCACAGACTGCAGGGCTCTACAGTAATGTGAAAATGTGAATGTCAGAGAACTTCATATGTCTTCATTAGATAGTAGTTCCAAAGACAGCTGTTCAGTGTGGTCTGTGGGCTATGCAGACAGTTTCTGGAAAGACACACTGCTGTTCCACCACAAGGAAATTCAATTCCCCACACAGATTTCAAATCCCTCGTCAAATGAAACCAGAACTATTTGCATGGCTAGGTGCCAGTCATGGCATGGGGGAAATAAGTTATTTTGTCATTTGGGTGAATCGATTTAACGACATGGGTTTTCCCCAAACCACGAAGGCAGTGCAAAACATTTGAATGAGACATCCGACAACACATTTCATGTCATGTTTTATTACAGACATGTCAGTAATTGAATAACCTTCATACCAGTAATATAGGCTATGTCTTTGACAGAACAAAATGTATTTTTAAAGCATCTTTCTGTTATTTGTTCCAGAATTGACAGTTAGACACCAGTGTGTCACCTCTGGCCTACTTTTCACATATATATATTTTCTTTTGTGTGTTATTTCTTGAAGGTGAAGCCAGTGGAGTAGAGAATGAGGAGAAAATGAAGCTTCTCTTTCAGCTCCAGGAGAAGTCGTCAGAAGTTGCCCTGCTGGAGCAACAAGTGGGAGACCTGCAGAGGACAGCGGAGCTGGGCTCACAAGGCCACTCCTTGCTGGTTGGGGAGGGCGGTTCATGTGAGAGAGAGCGGCTGCAGGTAAGGAGCACATAATCAGGAGGAGAGAAGAAGCGATCTTCGTTGTCCTGACAACTCTTGCTAGAACCATTTTTCAGTGAAGGGCAGGCTGAATTTAATTAGCACTATCTCCTTTCTTATAATCTTAGGGCTGTGGATTGTTTTATCTGTAGAAAGATGTATTCAGTCAAAATTCCCCTCCTCTTACGCATCTATGTTAATTCATGCTGCCACAGGCTATTGATATTGACCAATGAGCATCTCCACTGAAGCACTATAAGGGTTAATGCCCTTTTCAGAGGTACCTGGGCAACTGGGGGAGAAAATATTCCCATTTCATTTTATTCACTCACATGATTGTAGGTTCATGGAGTTAAACCAATGACCTGTTCACAAGCATGTCTTTCTATCCCCTAGGCTGTCGCTGGCCTACAAAGCATTAGCCTGATTTTTGTTATAGGATTGAACACTACACTACTACACCTACACATGTGTGTCTAGGGCTTATATTTAACAATATTTTTTTAAGGGGAAAGATATTATAATGTCTACTTGTAATCCATGGAAAGAGAAGGATATTCCTCATTTTTCTGGGTACCTGGAACCCCTTCAGTCACCCCTGGGGGTTCCCAGATCCCAGGTTGAAAACCCTTGCTTTAGTCCTCCTCATCTGTTTTCTGTGACACTCCCGCCACCCTCATTAAGTTTATTCAGTGCTTTTCAAACAGTAAAATAGGAATTAATCAGTTGTCCTTTCACTCAGGAGGCGTTGGCTGCCCTTGAGAAGGAGAAGAGAGGCAGAGAAGCCGCCCTTGCTGCTTTGGAGTATCAGACAATGGGAAAAGAGGAGGCACTGGCATCCTTAGAGGAGGAGAGGAAAGCAAGGGAGGAGGCCCTTGCCACACTAGGGGAGCTGAAGAGAAGCAAAGAGGAGGCACTAGCATCCCTCAAAGAAGAGAGAAAAGGCAACGAGAAAGCCTTGGCAGCCCTAGAAGCTGAGAGGAGAGCCAAGGAGGATGCCATTGCAGCCCTTAAAAAAGAGAAGCAAAGCAGAGAAGACATGCTTGCTGATCTTGGTGAAGAGAGGCGTGGCAAAGAGGAGGCTCAGTCTGTTCTGCAGGTGGACAGGAAGGAGATCAGCAGGCTGGTCGAGGAGAGAGAAAAGAGGCAGCAGGAGGGTGACGCACTTCAACAAGAAGTCAGAGAGCTGACTGCCAAACTGGAAGCCACAGAGCACCAGGTGGGCCACAGTAGGATTTTAACTTCTTGGTAGTGATTTCATAAAACAATGATACCTGTCTCAGTATTTATGATAAATGGTGATTTTTTGTTTTTTCAGAAAATGTACTGAGAGAGGCCTGATATGAGTTCTTAGCTGTTCAGGGCCTGATATAAACTTCTGAATTTTGTCTGCCAGAAGGTTGTTAAGCATGTGTTGTTATTTGTGTTTCCTAATTGGCCTTAGTGCTACAAGACTAAAATAAACTTATATTTGTGGAAATTACCACAGGTAACCACAGAGACGGAGAGAGCTGGACAAGTGTTAGTCGAGCTCCAAACTGCTCAGTCACAACTGGACGAATACTCGAAGGTGATCCAGGACAAAACTTCCCAAATCCACACCCTGACGCATGAAGTTCAAAGCCTGAAACAGGAAGTGCATACGTCAGCAGCATCATCTGATGGTGTCGATGATCAGCTGAAAGAGGAAGTGTCCGCACTAAGAAAGAATCTGGCTGAAGAAAAAGAGAAAAATGAGAGCATGCACAGACAAATGCTGGAGCTGGAGCAAGCGCTAGCACAGGCAAAGGAACAGTTAGCACACAAACAGCTCATTTCTGACCAGCAACTGGAACAGTTTACTGAGAAGCTGAATGAACAAGAGGAGGCTTCAAAACGGCAAGCTGAAGAGCTGAGAAAGAAGCTTCAGGAGCAAGAAGAGATAACACAGCAACCACTGGATGAGCTCAGATCCAAGCTCGAATGCCAAGAGCATGCTTTCAAAGAAGAATTAGAACAGCTGAGAACAAAACTTGAGGAACAAACGAAGGCCTCGGAAAAGCAGGTAGAGGAGCTCAATAAGAAGCTGCGTGAACAAGAATCGATGTCACAGCAGCAGTTGGAGGAGTTAAAACACAAACTGAGTGAAGAAAAAGCAACCTCCGGCAAACTTTTGGATAATCTCAAGCAAAAGCTGAATGAGCAGGAGCAATCTGCAGAGCTGCTTAAGGCTGAAATAGAAGAAGCTAGGCTAAAAGGTTCAAACAGTTCCTCTAGCTCTGCTAATGAAGAAGATCTCAAGAGGTTGAACTCCGATCTCCAGACTGAGGTTGCATCCCTGAGGGCAAAGGTTTCCAACCTGGAAGAATCAAAGTCAGAGTCTTCCAGCAAAACTGAAGCTCAGCTAGCCTCTCCAGAGAAGGAGAGAATGCTGCAGCTAGAGGAGAAGCCAGCAGAGCTGGAGATAGCATCTAGAGAGAGAGAGGCAGAGCTGCAAAAAAAGCTGCTGGAAAAGGAAGCACAGGTAGCATCCCTGCAAAAGAGCCTGCAGAAGGTGCAGGAGCGACGGGAAGAGGAAGAGAGCCAGGCAGTCCAGGAGGCCCGACGCAGGGAGGTTGAAAGGCGAAGGGAGCTGCTGGCTGTGGCGCATGAAGCCATCGCCCAGAAGGACGCAGAGCTGGAGAAGAAAGCAGAGGAGATCAGCAGGTAACTGGTCATTTCCTTTATTACATCTTAAATTACATCGTCACAAGTCCTAATTCTGTAACGGTTGGACCCTGTTTACAGTTCCATGTCTTCTTAGAAAACTTACATTTTACTTTAAGTAGCTCTACTTTGTACTGTGCAACATAGTAGAGCCTTCCTCACTACACTTAGCTCAAGGTTACAGCTCTGTCAGACCAGGTCTAGCAATGGGCAAGCCAAGCTTGGTGACAGGTTTAGGTTTTTGGATTGACTGGAAATATGCAACATAACAATAATTCAACATAAAAAATTGGCCATCTAGAAAGCCTTTTCAAGTCCCTCATGAGTAGGGCTGTGCGATATGACCAAATCCTGACGTAGGTAATTTCATATTATGATAATGATATATATCATGATATAGCACATTTACTGTAGATTGAATGAATATGAATGAAAATATGATTAGTTTGTATAAAATGACGATATGGATATCTTAGGGTTTTTCATTATAACCACAACAACTAAAGGTACTAATATTTTTTCTTTTTTTTCTTTTGTGCAACAAAACATAAAATATTAATGTCTGTGTCTCCCATATAAGACTCACCCACCACCCACCTACCCAAGTGTTACTGGTACGCAGAGAGAGTTGATTCAAGTTTCAAGTGTATCTGTATACCTGGACTTACTATTTATCCTGGGTTAACAAATACAAGTTTTACATGTGTTAAGGTGTTTATGTCAGCCAAGAGCTAAGGATATTACTATAATGATGCTAAAGTAGGAAATGAATCTTTGTTTGGTTTGTAAATTTCCTGGATAAAAGCATTAGCTAAACACCTCCACCTTAAACCAGAGAGTTGGTTTTTAGGCAGCTTTTTGGACTGTTCTCTGGTGTCCTCCTGGTCACAGAGCCAGTGCTTATGTCTTAAATTATTAGTTTTCACTGTTTTGTTTAATCTAGGTAGAAACTTAGAACAAACTAATTATAAATTAGTACATAATAGATTTAATAATTAATAATAATAAATAATTTTAAGAATGTAAAATTAAAAAGAGGAAAAGAAGAAACTGGGCCTATATGCTTTCCTTTCACGAGACGAGGGATAAACCCTGATCCACAATATTGAAATCATTCTTCAACATTCAGTTCGCTTGCTGTTTTTCTTCTTATCTTTTAGGACTTCATAAAGAGTCTGATAAGAAATGTGAAATGCAGCCTGAAATACAAACAAAAGCAGTAATTACACACCTAATATTCCTGTACCACCTTTCCCTCTCCAAGTCCAATAATGAGACCGGTAATACTCTGAAAAATTAAAATTAAAAGATTTTGTCTGTTTAATTTGGTATTTAATTTGGTGTAGACAAAGACTCATCAAATAAAAAAGTGTTTTAAAACAGTTAAAAAGAAGTCTTCCTGTATTAAAATATATTTTGCTGCCATTTTCAAGTAGCCTTTTTATGTTGGGTCTTCTTTTGTCTTTATTCCAGTCAGTCACAATGCACCTTCTTTAACAGTATTTGAAACAGTCCTTCATTATTTAATAATTATAGGCTTCACAATAAATTAAGTGTTTGAAACAGGCCTGGGCAATAAAACAATAGTTGTATATATCGACAATAGAAACTTCACAATAGCAATAAGAAAATTGTTTAATAAAATATTGATCGTTTCATTTAAATGCATTAAATGCCAGCCCTAGTGATTTTAAATTTGCACCTCCCATTAGCTTGTCTCAGTTTCAGCTTTTTAGGATCCTAATATGTTCAATACATGTAATACTAAGGGACGTCCATTTAACTGTCAGAAGCAGTCAGTCTCTAAATTAAAGTATGTTGTCATACTGGAGTTGTTCCCTAAGTTGCAGAAAAAAGGAATAAACAGTGAGAAGCAGTCTCCCTTTTTATAACCTTGTCTCGTGGTTCTCTAGACTATTATTGTAAAATACATTTTCTTTGTGTTATCTTGCCTTTCATCTCTCCACAAGTACCTTGGTGTCCAGGGAGAGTTGTATTAATCTATCCATCCATCCAGCCACTGTATTAAAGAGTCTCACGAGCAATGGGGCTGTTCTGGAGCGCACTGGTACTATAATGTCTTTTGAAAGACCTGGTAGCAGTTCATTATTATCTTGTCTCACTCTCCCAGACTGAAAGAAAATGCGAAGCAGGACTCGGAGAAAGCCAAGAGCCTAAGCCTCGACCTTCAGAGGAAGGAGGACGACACTTCAGACCTCAGGGAGAAACTAGCAGACTACAAGAAGCAGATCCAGCAGGTCCAGAAGGAGGTACACTCATTATATCTTTAAAAACCTAAAGACAGAAGTGAGAGCAACCTTCAATACGCAGTTGATTTTTAATCTGTTGCTGTCACTATACGGCAAAGGTATTTGTCTTTTGGTTTCTGAGGTAGTGTCTACACTAAGGTGTTTAAAGGTGGAAGGCTGGGTTCAGCCAAAATAAGTTGGCATACATTTGCATATCCAGTATTCCTGTAGTTTAGCTGGGAGATGAGCAGCAGGTTCACTACTTGCCACAAGTTAAACAAAATAAACAAAAAAAATACCAAGAAAGGAAATTGCAGCTCACTGGGATATGATTATAGATGCTTTCCTTTCCCTCTTTTTGTCTTTCTGTTTTGCTCTCCCTCTCTACTTACAAACCATAAACAAAGGGAAATGGATAAGTAATTTGCCAGTAAAAATGGGCATTTTATTACGTTTAAAAATGAATTTCATGCTTCAGAGACAGAAGATTTACTGGCAAATAAAGACTCTGTGTGATGTTAGCAGAGTGAAGGCAAGAGCCACAGTGCATGACACTCAGCAGACGTTGTGATGGAGCTAAAACATAACACAGTTGCACATGGTAGACATTTTGGATTCATTAAAGTCTGTATATTATTTAAAGCCCTTACATGATTTCAACTCTGTTGCAGTCTTCAGATTCTAAAGGTCTCATACATTTAAAAATGTTTCCTGCTTGATTAAAAATATTCTATGGCAGAGAAAACGATGAGTGTTCTGTGTTAAGTTGAAAGTGTAGCTTATGTACAGGTTGAGGGAAGTTAAATTATGGGAAGCTTGAACACACCAATCCTGGATATGAAAGTGGACACAGCACACAGCCAGAATTATTTTTATCTATAATGTGCAAACTTTTGTTATGACTCTTCTTTCCGGAAGATCTCGGCCATGAGAGAAGAGGAAAAGGTTTTGAGGCAGAAGCTGTCTGACATGGAGAAAGCCAAGAAGCAGCTTCAGTCTGACCTTGCCAACCGAGACCGAACCATCCAGCAGCTTAAAGTGGTGAGATAATCTGTCTTTCACTTTTCCATTTAGTATACCAAATCTCTGAAGGCTTTAGCTCTGTTTGCCTTGGAGGAGCAGCACCCCCGTCCTCTTGTGTGCCACTAAGCAATCCAACGGATTTCCCTTTGACTGCCTCCATACTGGTATATTGATGTGCCATCTTCATGCTTTCCTTATGACTTCATCTCCTCTTCCTCCTCTCTTCCTCTAGGAACAATCATCTGACAAGTCTGACCAGACACTCCAGCTCTACCAGAAGGCCTGTAAAGGTAAACACTGTGTGTGCTTCACTAGAAGAAAAGCATTTTGTCATGTTTGTGGAAAGGGATCTGCCTTTGAAATCGGTGTGGCCACTCTTTTGGAGGCTGCAACTAATGATTCTCAAAAAAAAAAATCTTTCCTCAATCTTCATATTGCTTGTTTTGTCTGACCAACAGATAGAAACCAAATTATATTAAATTTACAATCATACAAAACATATGAGCAGCAAATCCCAGAATTTGAGAACTTAAATGAATATCTATCAACTGAAAATGTAATTTACAACTTGGCTCCATTGGCCCTTTGCCATAGCCTTCATAGTGTTGAAGTGTCTGTCCTGTTGCCAAATGGTTTTTTCTTCTGAAAAGTTCTTGAGCAAAACCCTGAACCTGCTTTGTGGCTGACCTCAGACCTATGGAAATGTAGGAATGTAATGTTACACTGAAGTTGCGTTTCAATACAGTTCACGATACTGGGTTCTGGATATGAGTTTCTCTTTCTTCTTTTATATTTTTTTATTTTTTTTTACAAAATGAGACTGAAGTCAAATTATGACTGAAAAGATTTCTTTATCTACATATGGACAAAGATTATCTCAAAAAAGAGATTTAACTGTCTCGCAGTATATCCTTACATTCCTAGGGAAGGGGAATGAAAAGTAGAATACCTCTTTCAGGGATCAATATATTTTAGTGCATTTATTGCTGTGTGGGGGCAAGGATAGCATTCTCTATTTGTGGCAGTGACAGGCTGTGTTTTATTTTTATTTTTATTTGTAGACCTCGAAGCCAAGGAGCGTGTGATGGAGGACATGCGTTTGGCTCTGACGGAGCAGGAGGAGACACAAGACCAGATGGAGACGGTCTTGGAGGAAAAACTTGACCTCATCCAGGAGCTCTCCAGCGGTAAGATGCGGGATCTGAAAAATGAAAGAACAAAAAGCAAACAGACATTGTGAAAAGATTGAGGATTTTATTGTTTTGAATTAAAAAGGGGTTTGGCCCATGGACAGCTTAGTCTAATCCTCTTATCCTTACAAACTGCAGAGAAACAAGAATGTTCATAAAAGACAGTAAATGAAACTGACTGGAGTAAACATGTGTTTGCTTACAGCCACAAGGCATTTTAATTAAAGTCAGGTCAGTAAGGCAAACAGTGTTGAGTCACAATGAGGACAGAATAACACACTGGATGATTGTGCACACCATAAGAAGATACATACATGAAAGCACATCCAATAAAACACCAAAGGAAGTGGTAAATACAATTTAAAAAAACAAACAAAAACATACTAAACACATACAGAGGAGAGGTCACAACTTCATAGCGCAGATAACACCAGGCCAACTGCCATAGCTAATTTGGATCTTCCCATGGCATAGATTTATAGTATAAATTAAGATGGGTTTTGTCACTTGAGCAAAGACAATAAATCTATATTCGGTCTTACTTTTTACACTGAACAGGTCTATATAAACCTTGACTGGGGATTTGATAAGTAAAGAGAAAGTCATACTTAAGTTACATAAGTTAGATAAAGTATTTACTTATTTTGTCTTAATACTTGAATATCAGTATTAATTAATAATTCTGGTTTCTAACAATTTCAGAGGTGGAGAAATTGAAAGGGATGTTGTTGCAGCAGGACCATGGAAACAACACACACTGTCAAGTCAACAGCCAATCCGACGACCTGAAAGTGGCCGGACAGGAAGTGGCCAAGGCTCAGGAAAGCTTGAAGGTAATGATTGGAAGTAGTTTTCTGATGTTGCATACGTTGAATAGGACCAAAAATGTATGTTCTCAATCAGTTTTTATGAAGGAAGCATAATAACAAAGATAACATTCCAATAGGAATATAGATGATTAATCCATAATTAGTTAAGATTTGATATATCATGATAGTCATTCAAGTTGGTGCAACAGTGTTTGTACATTCCTCCCTTGCATCCTCCAAACAAAAAGGAACAAGGAACTCACCCTGATCACATAGATGTACTCAGGTTATTTAATACGAACTAGTATGACTGATGTCTTTTCATTGGTGTTAATATTTTATTAGGCATTTCAGCTCAAACAAATTCCCCATTTTTTTTAACACATCTTAAAAAGTAAAAAATAACCATTTTGTATACAGCTGTCTACAGAGAAACACCAGGCCGAGCGCAAAAAGTGGCTGGAGGAGAAGCTGTCCCTGATCGGCCAAGCTAAAGAGGCAGAGGACAAGAGGAACCATGAAATGAGGAAGTTTGTTGAAGACAGAGAACGGTATACTCGTCAGCTGAGCCAGTTGGTAAGAAAAGGATGAAAACATGCTAAACACCAGCTGAAATACGTAAACATGCGCCCAAACAACAAACACCTGCAGCTAAAAAAAGTCTAGCTTACACCTTTGACGCACAGCACGTGTGAGCAGTAAGTGATGCCTTGCTGAACTGCTGCAGCTTGCGCCTGTGGTGTCCACACAGAGAGCGTTTACGCTGCTGTGCTGCTGCTGTCGCCGCCAGCCCTATCTGTGTTTGCCTTTTGATAAATACAATAGAATGGATGGATTCTGTACACAGAAACGCTAAAGTTTTTAATAGCTACAGAAGGTGTTATATTGGAATATTTATATTTTTTACATGTCTGTGACATATTCTACAGGCACAGACATTTAACCTGTAACGAAAGGTGTAGCTGTTGCTGGTATAATGTCTATGACTATGAACAAATCCTTTTCGCTGTGTATTTTTGCTGGTGATCAGGCACAGCTCGTGGAAAAAATAGGCGAGACCTCGACTTGCTAGTGAAGCATTGAGGTAGTCACATTGCCAAGACATTGTGCAATGCACTGCAGGCGGGGGCGTTACACACTGAATTCTGACAATGTAGAGTTGAGTCTGAGATTTCTAAAATGGTCACCGTACAGAGGAGAAAACCATTCTGATTTGGGCAACATTGTGTTTTTGGTCCCAGCTGCAATAATGGTCTAAGAAAAGCAGATTTCTAATCTGTAATTTATTTAACAAATTGGCTTTCTGGCGTTTTATTGTTTATTATAGCCTCACTGGTGCTGGTGATGGTATAGGTCTGTTCTCACACACACATACATTGCAAAACCAGTATTTTCCACCAGATATTTAGCATGTACGTTTCCCTCTTTGTCAGGAGTCCATGTCCTCCCAGCTGGCTGAGAAGGAGCAGACCATGGAGAAGTGGAGGAAGGAAAGAGACACGCTGGTAGCAGCTTTGGAGGTCCAGCTACAGAAGCTTCTCTCCAGCCAAGCAGAGAAAGACAAACTCATCCAACAGCTACGCCAAAATAACACACAGCCACCACAAGAGGTCAGTATGACATAAAGACGAAGACAGGAACAATGTAGATACAGGGACCACACACACACACACACAAGATGTACCGTCGAAACCTGCTGCAGAGACTGACCACAAGAAATTGGGTGAAAACATGTAAAAATGTTAGATCTGCTTGAGTTAAAGGGGAGATGAAGATGAGTTGGAAGAGGAAGGTTAAAGAATGTGGTTCAAGACACAAGTGACTATTTCAGAATTTTAATGTGCAGGATAAGTGTTCATATTTGCTGTATTAGTGTCTCTAATCTTTAAGTCAGATACCATCCCTCTTGCATTTGAACTCCTAAGGCTGTTAATATATTATTTAACAGTCAGTAAGAGAAACTAAAAAAAAGAAGCTGCTCTCCTTTTTGTTTGAAATGTCCTTGTATGTTTAACCTCTGCTGACACTCCAATCGGTGATGTCAGAGCACTTGGTTCCCATCGTCTGTCAAAGCAAAACACCTGCTGTGACGTTATTGATTGGGGTTTAGCCAAAGGTGAAACTTAACTGAAAGTCTGAACCTGTAGAGTACACCGCAACAACAGTTTTCTGCCCCATTTCATTCAGTGTTGATTTACCTTTTATAGGTATTGATAGGATTCATTGGGAGAGCAGAACCCTAATATGCAGTGAAAAAGGCTGAAAAACATCTCACAGCCAGAAACACTACTGAAACCCAGCCGGAGGGGGGTAGGGGGGGAAGGGCAGCATTGGAACCCAGTTGGTAACTAAATTCAACAGACAAAGATAAATAACAATTCCTTGCGACTACTCTTTAATAATTGGTTTCTGTAATGTTACACAGCAGACAAGTGCACCTTGTGCAGAGATTATTTCACTTTTGTCACACTTCTGAACAGCAAGTTCCATCTTGCTTTCCTTTGGCTGTCTGGTGAGTAAACATGGTTAGCGGGAGCTATGGGAGCCATATCTCTGTTCCACATTACATTTCAGAATTTTGCATGTTGCTATCTCACATTTTGTCCTCACAGAGCTTTTGTGTGGTTTTCAAAATAACATAATTTCTTTCATTGTGACCAGACAGCTTCCCCATGATTGCTACAGAACAGACGGTGTGAAGGGCAGGCTGTAATGATTCTCCAAATCATATGGATGCTTGGCTCAATTTCTGATACAGCTGTATTGATTTAAAAGTTTGCATCAGGCAACAATTACGAGAGAATTACAGCTAATTTCATACAGGCTCTGTATCGGAAAATCCACAAATGATATGAAGGATACTCGATAAGTATGACAGTGCAAAATAAATATCCACAGCGCAGTGCTAATCATACAAGGATTATTGAAAGCATGGATTCATTTCTTTTTTTATTTTATTATTTTTTGGGCCCTCCTCCCATGAAGCCCCAGGATACTCAGTCCCCATGTTCCCCCCAGTCATACGCCCCTGCTATCAAAGGCCAAAAGTTGGCACTGAATGCAGAATGCAGTCAGATTCTCAGTCTTGTTTGTGCAGGTTTAATGAATGATTTTGTCAAGTTTGTACTGTTGAGAAAAAAACTTATCCTAGCATCACTGGTCAATTTTAGCATCACATTATCTTCTGGACTTGAACCCAAACGTTGTCCACGGCCACATCTGGGGAATTGAATTATATTGTAACGTCTAGGGACCACAGTCACGGTGCATTGGAAGCAATTTCCTCATGTGTATCACACACAGTGCAATCTCTCTGGAGTTTTCCACTGATTGTGTGAAAATGTTCTGTAGCTTTGTGTCTCCCTGAATATGCGCTGTACATCTTCTATCATAAATGTGAACTTTATGTAGGAAACCGATATTTGATTACATTGTTTGTATCCAGCATTTGTTAGGAAGTGTTTAAGAATAACTTGTGCCTTGTCCTTAATCTTGAGATGTTTTTGGACTAGGAAGCTGGCTAAATAACTATTATTTGAGATTCCTCACTATTGGTTGCTTAAAAGTGTTTGAATCTGTTATTTTTTTGTTTTGTTGTTTTTTTGGATTAATGGTTTGAAGCTCTGGGTTATAACAGTTTTGGTGAAAGAGCATAAAATCAAACGGATGGGGACACAAATCATCCTCAGTGTCCATGAACTTCCTGTTACAGAGTGGTCATGGTGGTGTCAGCGTGGCAGAGCTGCAGGCTGCTCTGTCTGAGAGAGAGGCGGAGATCCTACGTCTGAAGGAGGAGTTCAAGGCCTCAACAGCCAAACAGAAGGACACTGTCACACAGGTCAGTATATGATCTCTTAGTATCAAGTAACCATCCCTGCTTGCTTGAAAGGTGGCTGGTCATCTTTAATTTGTGTCAGCAGTACTGCAAGTTCAAAAGAGTTTGTACGCCCAAATATATCAGAATGTTACACAACTTGATTATACAACTTTCTTTCTATTTTGAGCCCACCTGATCTTAAAATCCCCTATTTATAGTTAAAAATCTATCAAAACTAAGGATGCTTCTCATATCAGTCCTGCATCATAATGACTCTCTGGTGTCCATCCAATTGGTTACTATGTTTACTATGTGTTCACCATCTTCAGAGTGAACAGAAATTAGTTTGACTTGGATTTGAATGTCTTGTTTTGCACACCTTAACCACAAGCTAGAACAAGATTTAACTGTGTGTTGACAATGCAAGTCTTAACCTTGTTTGACACACACTGTTGTGGAGTTAACAACATCTGTATATGAGAAACCCTTAGCTCCAGAAACAAAGAAGGCTCTTTAAAATGCATAGGAGCTTGTTATCTGTATAGCTTTGTTCATTTGAAATCTCTGAGTGGTTGCACCTGGAACATTACAACTGTGTCAACATGTTTTAAATGTTATACTTAAAATTATGATTTACTTTATTTTATATTTTATTCTTCTTCCTATGACAGACCAAAGACATTGAGAGCCCTGCTACACTGGTTGGGAAACCCCAGATTGAGACCATTACCAGGAAGTCAGGGGGTGGAAGAGATAACCGAGTGTCAATGAGCAGTCAGGTAAGCTCACGAGATGACATAAATGTAACCCTCCAAAACTGATATTCTGACGTTCATTTCATGCAGCGATTGGCCAGGTTTGCAGACACAGTTCCTACACAGTATGGAAAAGTATGGAATGTTGAAATGGAAAATGTGTAGGAAGGAACCTTGTGCAAAGGTGAGAAAGCCTGCGACTTTGACACCTCTGTTGAGCTCTTAACATGGCAGATTAAGTCACATGGGAACATTTTACAACTAGCCATTGTCAGCCCTACCACTGGTGATTGCCCATATATTTGCATATATGTGTGTGTATATATGTCCTGTACAGGCCTGTCTGCGCTGTGTCTTCGTTGTCCCCAAAGGCAGAATCCTGTTCCGTAAATCACATTGTTTCTGTATTCATGGTCATCAACCTTGTAGAAATACCCCCCCCCCGTTTATGAAAAGTGTGTCATGCAGGAAATATTCATTTTTTTAAAAAACATCCTTTTACAAGACACACAGGTACATAAGCATTTCAGAGGTTGGGACCTCAACATTTGGCAACCTGAACCTTTCCGAATGCTGCGTTGCTCAGTAACGGTTACACAGGTGTGGATACTTTAGCTGTTGTGGCGACTGACCTCGTCCGAACAGAGAGACCATCCTGTATCCTCATGCCTAGACACATTTCTCTCGAGTGACCGTGACGTAAACCGTAACCTTGAAATTGTGTGTGGTCCCACAGGGCTCAGCTGGCTATCCGTCAGTGCTGGACTCCTCAGAGATTTCCACAGAGAATGGCAGGACGAGCCGCTTCCCACGGCCAGAGCTGGAGATCTCCTTCAGCCCTCTGCAGCCAAATCGGATGGCTCTGCGACGCCAGGGGGAGGAGAACGCTGTCACCGTCAAAATCACTCGCTCAGCACGCAAGAGAAAGAGTGGAGAGATGGAGAAGGTAAGGACCAATCAAACAAAAGCAACTTGTCCAAAATGAGCAACATTCTCATGTCTTTTGCCCTTTGTGGATACATTTCCTACCATATGTGTCCAACTACAAAAAACTACATGTGAACATCTCTCTGTATGAATCTACATTTGGACTCCATGTCCCCCTGTAGGTTCCCTGAAAAACAAAAAAATGATACCTAGATGTCGAAGTGAAAAAGCCCATCTCTGGGGCTCATGTTGCTTAGTTATTTTTTTTTTTTTCTTCTACACATGTTCTGTGGAGAAAATGTCACTGTGAAACCTTTTCCTCAGCCCCTATCAATCCAGCGCCAGCAGGTAGTGCAGGATTGTCTTACCAGTTCTGGGAATGGGGCAATGGCAGTTGTATTGGCAGTTCTACACCACTACATAGCAAACTCAGATAGTTGTGATCTGTCAATAGGTTTGGCATTTTCCCATGAATATATTTAATCTGGGTTTGAAATAATACTGTGGTATACCAACTGCAGGTAACGTAAATTATGTACCGGTAATTGGATAGTTATTGTGTGTGAAACCATGTTCTAGCAAGGATCTTTGGTTTTTATTTCTGGCAGAAAACCCTGATTTTTCTTGATTTCTCTCTCTTCCTCTGGTCCCCTTTCCAGATGTAGGATATATGATGGAACACAGCTACAGGCTGCATGATTCTAGTCAAAATAAGAAGTGTCAGAATTGAGATCATGATCACAAAAGCAAAAATAATTATTGCACTCTGTATTGTCTTCATGCTGACCGTGATCATTAGTTCCTGGGAAAGGACAGACTGCTGTATTTAAACAGACAGCTCATGCAACTGCATAACGCGCTACATTCAAGAACAATCGATGCCTGCATCAGTCCTGTGTGTACCTCAACAGAAACTGCAATAATGTTAGAGCATTTAGCACAACATGAAGAACAATTTGAATAACATTTGTCCAGTGGCGTATTGGTCACCAGCACTTTGTCTATCGCATTTTATGAATGTAGAGAAACACTCCAGTACTTCTTACAGTACAGTGTTTTCCCTATTGTCTTTAACAAGAGCCTCGTGTATTTGCTGGGAGCTCAACAAATGCAGTTTGTATCCTGTGTAGGCAATGTGTAGTACAAGTAACAAGGTCAATGAGACAATCCCATCTGTGCCATTTGGAAACAGATTAGAGTCTTCATCCTGTGAACTGCTCAAGACTACGGCTGTTCTGTGAAAGCAATTGCGAGTCACATGTCGTCTTGAAAAGTAATCCCAGATCAAACCAAAGAGGCTCCATGGAAACGAGACCAGACTGTGAGACTTGTATAGAAAAGTGATACTGAGGTGGAGGGTGAACAGGGTCTCACTGGAATCGGATTAAATGTGCTTATGTTAATTTGTTTGTTACGACTAATGCAAGGGAAGTAGGCTAATGGGTTGTGGGGTGACGTGGCTTCATAAGCCTTTACAAATTGATAAATACCAGATCCAGTGAGCAGCATGTCCTTTTCTTTCCAAATGTAAAGAAAACCAATGAATATAATTTTCATAATCATATTTTTTCAGTTAGTGTTTGCATTGTTCTGTTTTTTTTAATTGCTGATGAAATGTATAATTTCTAATTAACACTTGTTGGAGCAATTAACATATGGACTAATGGAATACTTTAAACACAACAAAATGTGTAAAAGAAGAACTGATACTAAGTAATTCATCATAGATAATAACAACAATACTGTGACTTCTAAGTCATACAGTTTGCAAAATCTATTTTACCTCCTGAAAAACTGAAAATAGGCTCTTTGACTAAAACAACACACACACACAGAGACAAACAAACAAACACACACAACACACACAAACAGACAAACACACACACACTCCCCCCAGAGAACACATTAAACAAGCATCCCACTCAGAGGAACCAAGGTTGGGTACAGTTCACTTGTCACATCACTGTTCCACTGTCACAGTCTGCAAAGGTTAAAGCTGGTTGCAGCCTGTGTGACTTTTCTGTTTCAGAAATCATTCTATATTTTCCATTTTCTTTTTGTCTCTTTGGCAAACACAACTTTAGAATCTATCGTGACTACATTTGTAAAAATGCTAAAAAGATGTCTACTCTTCTTATTGGCTTTATTAGTTCAGAATGTTAAATTTCCAAATGTATGAAACACGAGGTATGTCTGAGCAAATAGCATGAGGCCAGTCAGGGTCTTCCTGCTTCCTCTTTCATTTTATCCTTCAGATTGTGGATATAGTAAATAGTCAGTAAATCTTTCCACATATATATATGCTTCCAAATATAGCTACATTACAGCATTCTGGCGCAGTGAGATTATATATCATTATTATTGCTATTTTACAGTTTTGGCTGTTTGTTTGGCAGTGTGCTTGGGAGGTGCTGATATACTCTGTATAGGCATGAGAATACCTTATCTCCATACTTTAATAACAACTGCATGACAAGCCATCAATGAAGTAGAGAATTGTGTGCATGGCAAATCAGAATAACAAAGTGATGATATGAAGATAATATCAATATCGGGGATAAATAAAGGAGACTGTTTGTTTTACTTGATAGTCATGGTTGAAATTAAATTTGATGAGCAGCTTTCAAGTTGTGACTTTATAAAAGCTGCAATCTACAGGCTTGGGGTATTCAGCAGACCAGTGCTGCAAATGTTTAATTTGTTATTTTAAATTTTTTTTTTTAAGAGTGAAAAACATACAGGCTTGATATATTTTGTAAATGTTGAATTGATTACATTATATGTTTAAATTAATAATGCACCTAATGACATCTTTACTTTACATTCCAAGGAAGCCCTATCCTAGAGTGGTTGTGGTTACAGTGCCATGCCATCTTAGTGCAGGTTGACAGATATAAATCAGTTTGACATCCTAGCTCAGGGACTTGTTGGCAGTATTTTGACAGCAATTTTAACACCTTCACAAATTTCCCTGAATAACTTTGTCACCAGGGGCAAGGGTATGAATGCTATGCATCATCAGAATGTAGGAGGGCTTTTACCATGTTTTACCACCATTTAAAATCGACTTATTTTTGCAAAGTAAATTTGGTATGCAGTGATTTAGCATTCAGACATCAAAAAGACTATTGGTAGAATAAAGATGCTCACATTTAGACCAAACTCTGACCAAAACAAATGGGAACTAGGGCCCACAAGAGCTTGTTTTTGTCACTGGAATGCTCAAATTGTTATGCTAAGTGTCTGTCTGTAGGGTTTGTTTCCATAAAGTGAACAGAAACAAAATAAACTTCACCAAAACTGTATTTGTAAGTGTTTCCACTGTTCCAACAATCAACATATCTGCTTTGGTCAAATTAAACCCTTGATTCACTGAAGTAAAAGACAAAACAAACTGCTTTTTAAGTCGCTCTCCTTAAAGTCAACAGTTACACACAGAAGGACTCGCACTATAAATCAGGGACAGCCATAAACGTATATTTAACAGTGAACAGAGAGGCTTGGACATCACACACAGAGGCAGTGTGACACAATTCTCTGCTCAGGACACCATTACTCGACTACATCTTTACATTTCAAATAGTTGTTTGATGTAATATTATTTTCTTGGATCTTCCATAACATTGCCCCACCTTTGTCAATCTTTCTATAGGTAAAAACTAAATCTCCCTAAACAAAATTTATTTAATTTAATTGAGGGTGATGCCATCTACGAATTTATCCACAAATAAGATGTTTTTGGTATTAAATGCTTTCGTCTTTTGGAACAGTGTGTAAAATCTGAATTCTTTAGCACTTCAAATGAAACATGAAAGTGTACAAATAGTAAAAGATGGACATTTTGATTGCTAGCTGATGTTGCCTTGGTATTTTTCTAAATGAAAGTAACCAAAATTGGTAATTTTATGCAATTGAACAATGTTTAATCTGTTAAGTGAAGCCAAGTCAGAAGTGTTGAAACCTGCATTCTATTTAATGGCCAGCAGATGGCAGCTCCATTGGCTACAGTAACACAACAATTCAATTGAGTCTCATGGAGAAATTACCCGATTTCTCACCTGAATTTATGATCTGAATCGCTAATTTCAAGTTTTCTTTCATACAGCATGATGTTGAGTTTGTAAATTATGGTCCAATTTTGAGTAAAATGGACAATAAAGCATGGTATGCTTTAGGGTGTGCCTACACTGTCCCACCAGTGAACTGCACAACATTTTGATCAAACAGTCAAACTTGGCAGTGCTGATCAAATATCAAGAATCAAGATTCTGTTACTGCATTACTACCTATTTCTCGCCTTAAATTGTTTCAGAAACATATTTTAGTTTACCGTTTATCTGTAATATGACATCATGTGACCAGGGAAGCCGCAATTGTTTAGTGCCACGGACAAGTTGAAACTGCGCAGTGAATGAGACCTCCGTTGACTCCAACAAATGGTCATGGCGACAACCTTTATGCCAAGCTCGAAGCTTCAAAACACTACTCCACAAACCAATGGGTGAGGTCACAATAGGTTCACACTTAAGTGGTACTGAAGACAAATGAGGAACATTTAGAAATAGAATGGGTCTACCTTGACTAACTACCTTTGTGCACTTTTACTGTATTATAGGAAAATGACAGAGTACAGTAATTAAACCAATTTTGTTAGTGTGCCAAACCTGCCATTGGTTTTGTTTTCCAGAATTTTGACACCTCCTCTAGAGACTCTAGAGGACACCTGAGACTGTACATCCTCCCTCTTCAATATTTTAAAACTGCCAGTAGTAAGAACTGTGTGAAGACGTGTTAGCAATGTGCCTACATGCTCTGACAAAAGCTCATTAGCTGGAATATATTAGACCACGTTCATGTAACACATAATCCCCCAATATAACTCTTCTGACTCTGTCTCCTTGTACCCTACCGGTATGGCAACATTTTCACTTTTGATACCAGCGGTGGGAGTACTTATATAAGGGTGAAAGCTTTGAGATGAAACCCCAAAGTAATTCCACTAATGACTGCCGTTCTGCT